TATTTGCCAACAAGATTGATTCACACCGTTTTTGTTTTTGACACAAATACGTTTTAATATATATATATATATATATACACAACAGTATAATTTACAATAGCAACTATTATGATTAATTATTACAAACCAAGTTTCATAAACAGAAATTTCACTAACTTACACTAACTAGTTCAGAGTCTCCTTGATATCCACTGAATTGTTGAACCGTTGAAGTAAGATAATATTTTATGTCCGATGAGAAACCAGCAATATTTTTGGAAAGATACTAACGTTTGATGAGAATCCACTAACGTTCGAAAATTTTAATTGTTCCTAGTCAAATGTCGTATATTTTCCGGTTGATAAGGGTTGCATAATCACAGTTTCATAGCAGTCTTATATCTTCTCTGGGCGCGTTGCCCTGCTGTTTTTATAGACGGGACGCATTTTCTTGAAACTTCGGATAATACCGGTTACGGAAGTGGATATATTGTTGATTCTTGTGCTCACGAATATGCTACAGTCTTGGAGAATTGGCGGGAGTTTCGCCATACGTAACTAACACGGTAAGCTAGACACACCATCAAATATAAACTTATTAGAAACAAACGTTGACATTAAAATAAATATGTAACAAATTCGTTATATGCAACGCATATCTGATACTACAAGTCATGCATATTTCTAAATACAAATTCAATCCAAACAACATTCATATTAAAAATAAATCCATAATGATAAATTCATTAAATTCTGTTAGACTCGTCACATTACGTGAAGAGCTGTGTCAATGTTTCTGTTAGTTTGTTTGGTTTGTTTTGAATTTCGCGCAAAGCTACAAAAGGGCTATCTGCGCTAGCCGTCCCAAATTTAGCAGTGAAAGACAAGAGGGAAGGCAGGTAGTTATCAACACCCACTGCCAACTCTTGGGCTACTCTTTTACCAAAGAATAGTCACATTATAACGCCTCCACGGGTGAAAGGGCGAGTATGTTTGGTGGGACGAGGATTCGAACCCACAACCCTCAGATTGTTAGTCGAGCGCCCTAATCACCTGGCCATGCCGGGCCTGTGTTTTTGTTGCCACATTACGTTGAGAGCTGTGTGTTGTTTTTTGTAGTTAAGCACAAAGTTACACAATGGGTTATCTGTGTTGTGCCCACCACGGATATCGAAACGCGGTTTTTAGCGTAATAAGCCTTCAGACTTACCATTGTGCTACTAGGGGGTTAAGAGCTGTGTCAATGTTCTGTTAAACTCGTCAAATTACGTGGAGAGCTATTTCAATAAAGGTGTAAAAATCATATGACTTAGTAAACTTTCCAAATGCTTACTTCCATGGGATACGAGAGAGAGACAAACATACATATTGACTTCCAAGCTAAGAAAAACATCATCGTGGCTTTGTTCCTCTTCGTCATACACATCGGGACCGTTTTATCCAATGGGCAAAAGGGGCAGTTGCTCAGGGCCCACCGCCGATAGCCACCGCGCTTTGCGTATAATAAGATAATAATAAACCTGCTTTTAATGTATTTGTTCATTTTTTATTTCCTTAGTTTTTTTATCACTAATAAATTCAGTTTATCAAATTCTATGGTATTTCCTTTAAAGCAAGGTTAAGCAAGGGTGGGACACAAGTTTATACTTCACACAGGCCTAAACGCGGCACTGATACACAAGAAACATACTAATATTTCAGGAGTTGGACTAAAAAACATTTGAATTGAAAAACTTAAACATTGAATTCAAAAAGTTTGAATAAAAAATTATACTATGGAGCTTTAAATTTTCGCGAATGAGTTTCTTCCCCAACCTTTTCATAACTGTATGCGGTATTTATTTTTGGAACGTCATGAGACTTGGTTGTTTTAGGTCATGAGAACGTTCGCTGTCAGCCCTGGTTTTTTTTTTTTATATAATGTTTTTATTTGTGATCCGAGGGTGGGGAACTGGGATAAAAATGGAAGACGAATCTGTTTATAGAAAGTGCTAAAGCTCGTTCCTTCATCCTTCTAGTAGACTGAGTTATAAGTACAAGTTAGGAAAGGAGAACACTTGTTGCCAAGCTACACATGTATATATAGTTGTCAAGATTTTTTTCTGCACTGTTGTTGTGGTTACAGGTTTGATATGAGATCGTCCGTTGCCAGATTACACAAACATGCGTTTTTTTCGCTTTGTAGCTACTCTTTTTGGTGCCAAAATAATTTAATTAGCACTTTTTTATCCAACTGTAACTTTAAAATATCCAAAAAAGATATGTAGTTGGAAATAATCGCTTTGTGCAAGTTATCTACCATGAAACTAACCAATGTGTCTCACGAATAAAGCACCGGCTATAATAAATATTCCATGAAATCCTATTTGTGATAGATGTTGTGGTTTGTAGTACTGCAACGCTATTAATAGAAGCGCTGTAACATATTTCATCATAGTAAAGCGTAATATCATTAATAAACTATAGCACCATTGATACGTGTGTTATAACATGTTTAATCTAGTAAAACATAGTGTAACACATTGATATGTGCTGTATCTTAATGTTACATTGTAATAGTCTGAAATGAACACGCTGCTACAATCAGGGTTCAACAACAAAAACACGGTTTATTCACAATAAGAACACTTAGAAATAAATTCAACACTTAATAAACAAGTGTCTGGTCAGGATTCACACCAATATTAATAAACAATTCATCATCAATATTAATAAATCAATAATAATGGAATCAAGAAAAATAACCAGAAAGAAAAACCTAATTCTAAAAAATACAATATTCAAACAATACCGTTCAATAACAATACTGATAACAATATTGAGTAACAAACAACAATAACTATACCCTTCAATAACTATGTCGTGATTCTCTCTCGCTAGTAAATCAGTCATCATGTGTGTCAGCATTTACACCTGTTCTGTAAATACTGACACAGACTGCTTCAAGCTTGCCATATCAGACTCACTAACTTCCATAGTAACGCAGTTATTTTCAAACACTAGTTAACTTATGTTTAACTGAACTTAAATGATTGCTGAATTAATCACTCGATACCAAATTGAGAAACAAAAAAAAAAAAAACTCCAAAGTCATAATTCAACCTTTCTGAAAAAGGTCCCTGTGTGTGAAAAAATATCTAACCATCTTAGGTCAATAATATCACCCAGAGATGACCATGCACAGCAGAAGTACCATACATTACTCACTAACGTAGCACGTGGTACCACATTCTGGTCACGAGCATTCAGTTCCCGATTGAGTTGATTAAAATCTGCCGAGAGAATTAGTTACAGAAAATACCGCTAGAGAGAAAGAGAGAACAAAAAGTTTGTTTGTTTGTTTGAAATTAAGCACAAAGCTACACAATGGGCTATCAGTGCTCTGCCCGCCACGGGTATCGAAACCCGGTTTCTAGCGTTGTAAGTCCGCAGACATACCGCTGTGCCACTGGAGGGCTAGAGAACAGAAAGAGGCACAACTACGCAAAACATTATCGTTATTAATTTCTTCGTGTTTTTTTTTTAAGGTTGAACATTAAAGTGATGTGTAAATAAAACAGCCTGTTACATTAACAACCTTACCGATAAACAAGCAGTAAAGCGAGGACATTTTACTGTAGAACTTTTAAATGTATAATTTATAAAAGTTCCTAATAATGATCTTGTAATATTAATTGTAAAATATATACATGTATGTTATAAAGTTGAGTCAAAACCACATTATTTTAAAAAAGCGTTAAGTGTTTTGCTAATCGAATTTGTGTCTTAACCTAAGCTACGTAATAATGACATTGATAAACCTATGAACATTGGAGAGGAAGAAATTTCCCCAACATGAACGTTAATTTATTGATCAGTAACTTGTGTGATATTACGTCACAATACGACAGATAATATATTTGGGATAAATTTTCATTTACTGACCCTACACTGGTTTTCAGTAAGAAAAATATTACACCATCTTAGATTGGGCCACACGAAGTTATTTGCTTAATACAAGAGCTCATCGGGTCGACTGGGCAATCGAAACGCTATTCTAATAGTTATTTACGATATAACCAGTAACCACACCCAGCCCAGAACATGTGAGCCGCAAAATACAAGATTAATTAAATAAATACAATATAAAACATATAAAGTTAATTTATACGCGTTATTAAAGCCATATTTTCATCTAAATGTTAAATTTTATTCTGGCGTAAATCTCAAATTTTGTTAACTCTCCTATCATATATATGACAATGTTTATTAGATTTTAAAATGTCTTTTTTTTTTTTACTTGCACTTATCTTTAGATAATTTATACTAGCGTCTAAAAGGATTACGGGAAATTAAAGTAACACTGTTAAAGGCGGAGTAATAAAACAAAACTCTCTATATATATTAAAGCGGAATAACTCGTCCTATATCCGTTTTTGATTCCAGAATTATTCCTGATAAATTAGGTGAACTCTTCAACTAATTACCTTGGCAACCAACTACTTGTAATACTGGGTGAATCAATTTGAGCTAGTATTTCGTTATCTAACCTGAGATCGAGTAACAGAATTATTACCCATGAAAACGATGAGTCGAACTAATATATTACCTCTAGCCTAGAGTATAGCAAAAAACCTACAACAAGGAACAATATATTTGAAAGAATAAAAAAAACAGGGAGAAAATAAATCTTTTACACTCTTTCACTTAAACAACATCCTATGAGTAAACCTTTCACACCTTCCACATTCTTGTAATCTGTACTTCAACATGTCCAAACAATAATCTGTAAGTCTTTCACACCTTCCACATTCTTGTAATCTGTACTTCAACATGTTCAAACAATAATCTGTAAGTCTTTCACACCTTCTACATTCTTGTAATCTGTACTTCAACATGTCCAAACAATAATCTGTAAGTCTTTCACACCTTCCACATTCTTGCAATCTGTACTTCAACATGTCCAAACAATAATCTGTAAGTCTTTCATACCTTCCATATTATTGTTACAGTAAGTTACTGTTTGGTTTTGTGTTTTACAGGAAGTTTACTGTGGCTCCGACACTATCTGTAGGATAGAAACTCTCCTCTTTAACACATTCTACAATGTTCGAGTCAGAGCAGTGAACAACATAGGCCAGAGTGATTTCTGTGAAGCGGTATCCATAAGGACCGATGAAGGTTAGATGTTTGAATAGTTGTTATGTTGGAGAAATAAAGAATGGGTTAGTTTAAAGAAATTTGGCATCAAATAATTCAGTTATCAATTTTTAAAAACATTTGTTATTGGTGTAGTTTTTAGATATCTATACACTTCCCTTCAACCCACCTAGAAAAGAGGAAAACTTTAGTTCTAGATATATTTGGTAACCTGAATGACCTCAGATTCTTCTGGAATAAAAACGTATATTAAGATATGTGCCTTTCTGAAAACTACACCACCGTACATGTTTTCATTTTACTCTTGAGTTTTAGTTGAATAACTTTATGTTTTACTAACGTTCAGAACTACCCGGTTTTCACATTCACTCGGATTTGAAATACTTGTTTTCTTTTAAAGTTACAGAATATCATCGTACACAAACAAGTTGTTCCTCTTTTAAAATACATTAAATTATCTGTTATTTTCTTTACCCTAGATACGAGCCGTTAAAAAAAAAGCTGCTTTATTTAGGAAAAACTATGTTATAAACAAGAGTATAGCTTCTTTTTTTTTTTTTTGACAAATCGGCAATTATACCCAGCTCATCTGTTTGGTGACTGGAGGGTCACTTTCTTTCTGTTTATAGGGAAAAACAATCAGAACGTAGAACACGTTAAAAATGCCGTGGGTTTTTAGTTTTTTTCGAAAATTCGTTCTTTTATTAATGACACACCGTTTATTTTTCTACATAGGTTAAGTGTGTAAACAGGACCGGAATACTACGCTTCGTTGAGGTAATGTTTAGTTTTCTTCAGCATTAACAGAGATCTCCTCGGATGTTGCTCCAGACGGCTTTCTGTCACTTGAGCTTAGCCAGTGAAATTGGAAAACAGAATTAGGTTGGATCGATCGCAAGGTTAAGGAACGAATTAGCAGACGAGTGTGTAAGAGATTTGTCGTTGAAGTTGCAGACGTCGTTCACTGAACTTTTTTATCAAGCCCTTCTTTATAACCGAAACGTGACGTGTTTATTTTAATAATTTTTAAAATGTTCTTTTCAAACATTTCCATTTTGAAAATACTACAATGGCAGTTTGGTGCTTACTATTCCAATGTTCGTTTAGTAAGATTTATCTTTCTAGAGATTGGTATAATAAAGTCTTGAAAACAATGCCATCTGCTGCATGATGTTTCTTTCGCAGAAGAATCAGTTTCATTAATTTGTTTGATGTACAGAAGGATGTTCACTAGCTATAGTTAATATAAAAGAATGAGGACTAGGCCTAACATTACCAATGGTGTTCTTTATGATGGTGCTGGTTATAGACTATCGAAGTGCAATGCAATTTTCAATACAGGTGGGTTTTGGACATTATAATGAGATCATTTTTGTCCACTTTCTTCTAAGATACTCTCCAAAACTCCATCATCTGTGCACGAATGACGACTTCCAAGGACTAGTTTGAGCAATCCAAAGGCACGGAAGCCCATGGGAGACGCATCTGGTGATTGTGTTTTCATGTAGTATAACATAAATCCCTGTTTATATTTGCATCTTGCAAAGGAATTGGAATGTTGGCTTGGATTTTTCTTGATTCTCCAGATGTTTAACTAACCATTGTAATTTATAACTGTAATGTGCAACCAACAAAAATCCATTGGAAACAATTACGTGGCATGTCCTGTACCATTTCTGAGATGCTGTATCACCAGAAGGGTGATAATAAACTGTCAGGACTTTGTAAATAATACTTCGTCAATTGTAACGACATACATACATTTGTCACGTGTAAGCTACTGCTCATACAACATTGGACATTTATTCATACGTTCGCCAATAGCTTGTGAACTTGTGTCTCTATTTTTCGACCTAAAGCCATGGAAATTATTTATTTACTCTTCCAAAAGAGGTCCCAACTTTAGCTGTAACGAACCACTGTGCTCTTGTATTGCTTCCAGTGACAAGCTATTTAACTTTCTTCACTACCTCTAGTTTGCTGCTAGTAGCCAGTCGTGGAGTAGCTTTTTTCCTCTGCTGGAATCACATCTTCCAATATTTCACCGATATAGTTCGACAATAGATATACCCATTTCTTCGAAACGCTAAACTTGCGTGTCTTGCGTGCTTTTATAAGTGCGGAATCAAAGGACATCACATTCAGAACTTCATGTAATGTAACCATCCCAGGAATGGTGAAGTTGACGTGGCATTCACTTGTAAATCCCCGTACTTCCATTGATTTGAAACAAGAGAGTGAAAGCTTTTAACCTGTGTGATTACAGGTCATGGGATTGGCCAGGAGCAAAATTATCGGATATGTAAATTGTTATCATAGATGGTGAACAACCCTTTTTTACAGTTTAACGTTTTTTATCACCGATTCTATTCTAACATTGTCTAATATCTAGTATCCCTATTTTTTCTGTCCAGTGGCTTGGTTTAGTCTGGACCCTGTAACTGCCCATCCTGATATCATCCTGTCCAATGAGAACCAGACTGTCACGTGCGATAGCTATGAACATCGAGTGGTGCTGGGTAGCCTGGGCTTCTCACAAGGAGTCCATTATTGGGAATTCACTGTTGATAAGTACAACACGAATGCTGATGCAGGATTTGGCGTTGCCACCCTGGATGTTGCTAAGGATATGATGCTGGGTAAGTTTACAGGTATTAGTAAACACACCTCATTTTGTTGTTACTAGCGTATTGACATTGCTAAGGGTATGATGTGAATATAATGAAACTTATTAATTAACACACCTCGTTTTGTTGTTACTAGCCTATTGACGATGCTAAGGGTATGATGTGAATATATTGAAACTTATTAATTAACACACCTCGTTTTGTTGTTACTAGCCTATTGACGATGCTAAGGGTATGATGTGGATATATGGAGACTTATTAATTAACACACCTCGTTTTGTTGTTACTAGCCTATTAATGATGCTAAGGCCATGATGTTGGATAAACGTAGACGTATTAATAAGCATATCTCCTTTCGTTGTAATCTACCTATTGATGTTGCTAAGTGCATGATATTGGATAACTTTTTTATTTTGTTACGATTTTTTTTCAATTAGATAGAGAAATAAAATATAATTTAAGACTGATACTGACTTTTTGTACTTTAACCATGAGGGTATAATGAGAAAACTTACTAAGAATAATTCAGTCAAGTAAAATAAAAACTATTACACTGTCTCTCCTCTTGTGCAGGCTTATGTAAAAGCCTTGACACAATCATAGTGCAAAGAGTGGTGAATAATGTACAGTGTCTTTGATGGTGTTTATGTGTTGTTTAAGGTAAGGGGACAATGAAAAGCGTGCTTCATAGCGACAAGTTAAACTAACTCCTAACATTAATTATTTGTTTTATCTAAAGAAAAAGAACTTTAGCTGCTGTTTGAGTTCACTTATAAAACAGAATGCCTGTATGCTATAAGAGACCAAGCAAAGAAAAGGAAAATGAAATTCCTCGCAACATAAAAAAATTATGAAATTTTTGGTTATCGGAAACGAACCTTTGGCGCTTAACTCATCACTTCAACACAGTATTTCACTCGAGTTCCAGAATATTAAAAGTGATTTTTCGGCTCACATTATTACAGTTAAGAGATTTTCCCTTATTGAGACGTCTTTTCATTTTCAGGTAAGGATGATAAAGGATGGAGTATGTATATTGACTACCAGAGGTCGTGGTTTCTCCATTCTGATCGACATGACAACAGGACAGACGGAGGTGTAGGCTCCGGATCGGTAGTTGGAGTGTTATTGGATCTGGATCAACATCAGCTTAGTTTCTATGTTAACGATGAACGTCAAGGCCCAATCGCTTTTACTGAGCTCCACCAGGGGATGTTATATCCCGCAGTCAGTGTGAATAGGAACGTCCAAGTTACTGTCCAAACAGGACTTGATCCTCCTACAGACAGCAGTGACCACGAAAGTGAAGGAGAAGGGAAAGGCGTTGGATAACTATGTAAACAATTATCACTAGGCAGTAGTAAGGTCGAGAAAGTACTATAAAATGCATTTAAACTTTAAAATGTCACAATAGGATTTTAATGCATGTTTTGTAAAAATGAAATGTAAAATCGCACACTTTAACAAATATGTACTCAAAGAAATTTCCTAATATTCGCGTTGTGTAAAGGCAAATGAGACAAAGAAAAGTTTATGTTATATTGGGCCTTATGTCTCTGAGTTTCGATTTTTTTGACATATCGTTAAAAGCGTGATTTAGAAGGAGTTTGACTATGGTATAGATTTTATAAAATTCAATTCGTATGAAATATCTGCAAATGTACAGAAACAAGAAAATGTTGTAATAATGACCTGGGTTTAAATTTGTGTGGAGCCAGGTTTAATCTCCAACACATTTTCAAATGTTATAGGTGTTTAGCGATAA